ATTGGAAAACACACAGGGATCTTTCTTTTGTATAATAATGTGTAGAGTGACCAGTAGGAGTCATATCATTATGTTTCAACAGTTGTAGAGGTAGTGACCACTATTTACCCACATGCTATAAGCAAGCAATATGAAAAGTCTGTAGTTGTCCCTTTCCGCGACCACTGTTCGTCTCCCGTTTAATTGATATTGGAAAACACACATGGATGTTTCTTTGATATAATAATGTGTAGAGTGACCAGTAGGAGTCATACATAGTAAAAATAATAAATATATTACAACAGTTCTGGAGGTAGCGACGATTACTTCCTACACTCAACAGACAATCAATATGAAAAGTCTGTAGTTATCCCTTTCCGCGACCAGTGTTCGTCTCCTGTTTAATTGATATTGGAAAACACACAGGGATGTTTCTTTTACATAATAATGTGTAGACGGTCCAGTAGGAGTCATACATAGTAAAAATAATAAATATATTACAACAGCTGTGGACGTAGTGACCACTATTTACCCACGCGCCATATCCAATCAATATGAAAAGTCTGTAGTTGTCCCTTTCCGCGACCAGTGTTCGTCTCCTGTTTAATTGATATTGGAAAACACACAGCGATCTTTCTTTTATATAATAATGTGTAGACGGTCCAGTAGGAGTCATATCATTATGTTTCAACAGTTGTGGAGGTAGTGACCACTATTTACCCACATGCTATAAGCAAGCAATATGAAAAGTCTGTAGTTGTCCCTTTCCGCGACCAGTGTTCGTCTCCCGTTTAATTGATATTGGAAAACACACAGGGATGTTTCTTTGATATAATAATGTGTAGAGTGACCAGTAGGAGTCATACATAGTAAAAATAATAAATATATTACAACAGTTCTGGAGGTAGTGACGATTACTTCCTACACTGAATAGACAAGCAATGTGAAAAGTCTGTAGTTGTCCCTTTCCGCGACCAGTGTTCGTCTCCCGTTTAATTGATATTGGAAAACACACAGGGATGTTTCTTTTACATAATAATGTGTAGACGGTCCAGTAGGAGTCATACATAGTAAAAATAATAAAAATATTACAACAGTTGTGGAGGTAGCGACGATTATTTCCTACACTGAAAAGACAAGCAATGTGAAAAGTCTGTAGTTGTCCCTTTCCGCGACCAGTGTTCGTCTCCTGTTTAATTGATATTGGAAAACACACAGGGATGTTTCGTTTGTACAATAATGTGTAGACGGTCCAGTAGGAGTCATACATAGTAAAAATAATAAATATATTACAACAGCTGTGGACGTAGTGACCACTATTTACCCACGCGCCATATCCAATCAATATGAAAAGTCTGTAGTTGTCCCTTTCCGCGACCAGTGTTCGTCTCCTGTTTAATTGATATTGGAAAACACACAGGGATCTTTCTTTTGTATAATAATGTGTAGAGTGACCAGTAGGAGTCATATCATTATGTTTCAACAGTTGTAGAGGTAGTGACCACTATTTACCCACATGCTATAAGCAAGCAATATGAAAAGTCTGTAGTTGTCCCTTTCCGCGACCACTGTTCGTCTCCCGTTTAATTGATATTGGAAAACACACATGGATGTTTCTTTGATATAATAATGTGTAGAGTGACCAGTAGGAGTCATACATAGTAAAAATAATAAATATATTACAACAGTTCTGGAGGTAGTGACGATTACTTCCTACACTGAATAGACAAGCAATGTGAAAAGTATGTAGTTGTCCCTTTCCGCGACCAGTGTTCGTCTCCTGTTTAATTGATATTGGAAAACACACAGGGATGTTTCTTTTACATAATAATGTGCAGACGGTCCAGTAGGAGTCATACATAGTAAAAATAATAAAAATATTACAACAGTTGTGGAGGTAGCGACGATTATTTCCTACACTGAATAGACAAGCAATGTGAAAAGTCTGCAGTTGTCCCTTTCCGCGACCAATGTTCGTCTCCCGTTTAATTGATATTGGAAAACACACAGGGATGTTTCTTTTATATAATAATGTGTAGACGGTCCAGTAGGAGTCATACATAGTAAAAATAATAAATATATTACAACAGCTGTGGACGTAGTGACCACTATTTACCCACGCGCCATATCCAATCAATATGAAAAGTCTGTAGTTGTCCCTTTCCGCGACCAGTGTTCGTCTCCTGTTTAATTGATATTGGAAAACACACAGCGATGGTTCTTTTTTATAATAATGTGTATACTGACCAGTAGGAGTCATAAATAGTAAAAATAATCATTATATTTCAACAGTTGTGGAGGTAGCGACGATTTTTTACCCACGCGCTACATACAAGCAATATGAAAAGTCTGTAGTTGTCCATTTCCGCGACCACTGTTCGTCTCCGGTTTAATTGATATTGGAAAACACACAGGGATGTTTCTTTGATATATTAATGTGTAGAGTGACCAGTAGGAGTCATAAATAGTAAAATTAATAAATATATTACAACAGTTGTGGAGGTAGCGACGATTTTTTACCCACGTGCTACATACAAGCAATATGAAAAGTCTGTAGTTGTCCCTTTCCGCGACCAGTGTTCGTCTCCTGTTTAATTGATATTGGAAAACACACAGGGATGTTTCTTTGATATATTAATGTGTAGAGTGACCAGTAGGAGTCATACATAGTAAAAATAATAAATATATTACAACAGTTGTGGAGGTAGCGACGATTACTTCCTACATTCAATAGACAAGCAATATGATAAGGTATGATAAGTTTGTGTGAAGTATTACAGTGTAAAGGAACTGCTGGACATATAGAGCACCATATTGTGTTTACAGGCTGTTGTCAGGGATTCCGTAAATTCAGATCAACAACCCACTCAAAATACTGGACTCAACCCATGCCACTTCACTCAATATATTTTTGTATTACAAAAGAGTTTGCATTTTATTTAGTCGTGGTAGAATGGAGATTTAATATTTGAAACCTCATGCTGCGCTTTTGGTTCCAAATTCAATTTAGCATGGTTAAATCTACAGGTAACCTAGCTCTACATTGAAAACACAGTATGTTTATGTCCTAAATATGATGCGCTGCCCTTTTGAAGCTTTTAGGTCAGGGGTATAAAAATATTTCTAAGTTGAAAACATGAAACAAGATACCGGTATATTTTCTGAGAAATTCCACTTATCAAACTGTGCACTGCACCTCCTCTATTTTAGTATGGAAACTGTTCCCTAAATTTCAAAAGAATGCATGCAGTGCTTAAAATGTTTAAGTAGAAAAAATATAAGTAACCCAATGAAAAACAGCTGTATTTTTTCAGAAAATCCAAAAATTGAAATCAAACCTCACACAGCACCTGTCCTATTAATACACAAAGTTTGAGAAGAATCTATGCTGTAGTTTTCAAGTTATAAGTCACACTAGAAAATGTCCTCGGAAAGATTAAATCCCCGACCTTTTATGGTTAAGAAACCATTAATTTCAAGCAGGGCTCATGGAAATAACATTAAGGTTGCCTGACTGGCTAACTTAATTTTCTTGTGAACTATAACACATTATTCAGTTGACAAATGTGAAACGAGAATATCATGTTAAAATTGTCACAAGCTAGATATGATAAATAGCTGAGTTCTGATATTAAGGATGTACTTGTCATGCTTGAGATGATCCATTGTTGTAGTTCTGCAAGTGACAGAAACCCAATTGATTTTGACTGTATTTCTAACAAAAGTAACATTCACTGAAACTTGAATACCAGATTTTATTCCTTGTATTGGGAAGTGTAAAAGTGCATTAACACTGTCACACACGCTTTATTTGTAAATTTAAGTTTAAAGCACAGATGGAATGAAATTAAGACTTAAAACTAAGTACCATACCACAATAAAACTTTTCACAGTTTGCAGTTATTGAAGCATTTATTTTGTGATATATTTACAGTAGGGCTGGGACGAGTTCAAATTTACTACCCGGTTACCCGATCCCCTATTACCCGGGTACCCACTGTAAGTCTCAAGAGTAGGGAACAAAATGTCAGATTGGTAATTGTTTTACCGCAGCCCTGGCTAAAGCTATTCAGATACATGTATCAAACAATCAGATCATGCATACACTGAAGTTGACTGAAGCTTTATTTTTACTCAAACATTTACAAGTCAAAAGGAATGAGTGCATCGTCAGAAAATAATCTTAACATTAGCGACTTGTAGTGTAACCATTGAGCTATAGTATGTTTTTGTCTTTAAACAAAATATAACGTGACTAACCACGGGTCTGGGTAGTCCTGTGGGTACCCGGGTCCTATTCAGGGCCCACAAGACTCGAGTACCCGAGTCACCCGTCCCAGCCCTAATTTGCAGTGTTAAATGGTAGTGTTTTCTATTTTGGAAACAGAACACAAACTCAACATATGAGTGTTAGAACATAGAGACTTTCAACACATCCTTTTGTCTAACATTGTGCATGATACACAAAAAATAATAACGGGTGGTATAAAATGATTTCACAAGGTTTGGTTGAAAAGCAGTGCCGCTTATTATTAATGGCTAAAATGACAATACATGAGCAAACTCGATTATTTACAGACCGCCGTCATTTAGTTGAGTTGAAATATTGGTGAGTGCTTCGTTAAACAACAACAAACAAACAAATCTGACACAACTAACCCAAAGGATCTAAGAGGCACGCGTGGATAACATAAGATACTAAAAGATATGTCTTGAGCCATATCGATTTTAATCATACTTGGTGGCAAACAAATTTAGCATTCGCACTGTTGACACAACCACAATAAAACCGACCATAACCCACCTAAGAGACTTCCTGGCAGTTATAGTTAGCGATCTGTACGTTAATATAACAACAAGCCGACCTTCGACAGTAAACAAATGCGTAAACAGATCCGCCATGACAGTAGCACTGAGCGCAAGTAATTAATGGGAAGAGTCGCGTCCCTTGCAAGATGTATACCACTCGATAAACGTAGCGCTGTGGCCTGGTCTGGGAAAGGGACGTATACTGACTCGACCTCCCTTGATACACGTTTTTAGGAATGGCGCCACTTACGACTTCCTGTTACCCTAGTCCTTGTTATACGGGATTTGGGTTTGTCCATTTCCAAATGACTGGGCTTCTGTCTACCTGAACGACCACGCAAACGCTAAGCTTGCGGCGCGTTCCAAATGTAAAATCAGTTTAACCGTACGCGTGTTTAGTTAGACAGAAGCCCAATCAAATCAATCTGATCACATTCATTTTCTCTTAGCCATCGATTTAAAATAAGAGAAATTATACTACCAAACTCAGTTTGACTTCAAGTGCCATAAGGCCTTCATAAGACTTGAGATTTAACATACTGGCTACATTTTAAAAAAAAAAAACATTCGACATGATCGGGACATGTATATCGTCAGAAATATTTCACAATGTCCAGTATACGTTTTATTGTTATATTCCCCACTGATTCATTCCGGTGAAACAAGTTTGAGAACATATTTGTTACTTCATTTTTTCCCTCACCCGAGAAGATCTGGGGAAGAATAGGACTTCAGCAATCCATGCGTGCCGTAAAACGCGTTTATGCTTGCCGTAAAAGGCGACTAACGCATAGGGTGGTCAGGCTCGCTGACTTGGTTGATGCATGTCATTGATTCCATTTGCGTGGATCGATGCTCATGATATCAATCACTGCATTGTCTGGTCCAGACCCGATTATTTACAGATCGCCGTCATATAGCTGGAACATTGCTGAGTGCAGCTTAAAACAACAAACCAACCGTGACTGATTAACTGTATGGCAGAATTGCATGGTCAACAGCTCTTTTGAGTAGTATATGTACTTCATATTAACATGATTACTACTATATTCTCTTTTCATAAAACATGAGGATGAATTTGCTTTGCCTTTAAGAATGTCTAAGTATACATACTGACTACTGTCAGACTCGATTATTTACAGACCGCCGTCATTTAGATGGCATATTGCCGAGTGTGGCGTTAAACAATAAAGAAACATAATATTTTCGTATTGATACATTATGTTTTTAATGCAAACAGACTAAGATGACGCAGACAATTAGCTCCAAATGCTGTAATGTTGTAACAAGGGCCGATGACCTACATAACATGAATAAAGAATATTGATACATTTAGTTATAATAGTATTACGGATCTACGTGCAGTGGTTTGCCTTCGTAAAGAGTCAAGATTGACAACACTTACCTTCCCTTCCTCAACACTGAGTCTCGTCCTTGAGGATACGCTAGGTACATCTGTTGGAGACGCACATGTCGTGACTTCCACCAGAGTGAGGCCTTTGTTCCAGGGAGTATGGCCGGCCTTGAACTGGGAACTCCTTCTCTTCCTTGAGGATACGCTTGGTACATCTGGTGGAGACGCACATGTCGTGACTTCCACCAGAGTGAGGCCTTTGTTCCAGGGAGTATGGCTGGCCTTGAACTGGGAACTCCTTCTCTTCCTTGAGGATACGCTTGGTACATCTGGTGGAGACGCACATGTCGTGCCTTCCACCAGAGTGAGGCCTTTGTTCCAGGGAGTATGGCCGGCCTTGAACTGGGAACTCCTTCTCTTACGATCTCCTCTCATTTTGAATGTGTTTCCTCTGTATGGAGTGCGTCTATATAAGGACCCGTTCCCATCAACCCATTCTCCAACTACAACCGAAGGTAATTACTATACAACAGACGCTTCCTGGAGATTCAGGGTATTTATTCCATGGGAGATGATGAATACTGATTGATATACCAAGTTTTGGGTGAGCTGAGATCCATTCCTTTGTTAAGTGAAGCTAAACACACAGGTTCTGTGTACAAAAATCTCTCATTCAGAGTACTTACTTAATAAAACATTCACCCTTCTCAACTCCAGCAGCCTACACTCATCCCCTTCTCAGCTCTAGCAGAATATACTCATCCCCTTCTCAGGTCTAGCAGCATATACTCATCCCCTTCTCAGCTCTAGCAGCAAATACTCATCCCCTTCTCAGCTCTAGCAGCATATACTCATCCCCTTCTCAGCTCCAGCAGAATATACTCATCCCCTTCTCAGCTCTAGCAGCATATACTCAAACCCCTTCAGCTCTAGCAGAATATACTCAAACCCCTTCAGCTCTAGCAGAATATACTCATCCCCTTCTCAGGTCTAGCAGCATATACTCATCCCCTTCTCAGCTCTAGCAGCATATACTCATCCCCTTCTCAGCTCTAGCAGCATATACTCATCCCCTTCTCAGCTCCAGCAGAATATACTCAAACCCCTTCAGCTCTAGCAGAATATACTCAAACCCCTTCAGCTCTAGCAGAATACACTCAAACCCCTTCAGCTCCTGGAACTAAGAGACTTCAGGATTCCTTTATATGTCTATTTTTATTTAACCTCATACATCACTTTATCTGGGGTGATAAAGGATCTACGCGTCTTTATGTATATTACAGTGTGAGTTGAAAGCGGAGAATCTCTTCTGAAAACATGCAGCGCTCTGATCATATTTGTTCTTACTTCTCAACCGTATCATGGACTGTAATAACATAATCAGCAATTTGTAATATTCTGTCGTGGATGCAAAATAACTGAATTAATGTCATCCTTGGACTTTGACAGTTCATGTGATGTTATTGCGCACGCAGTTTACACTGAACATCCGTGCAAGCAGCATTTTCCAGCTGTTACTGGGTCTCTGTCTACCTGAACGAAAAACACACCGTAAGCCTGCCGCGCGAACCGACATTGGAACCAGTTTATGTTAAAGCTCCCAACAGCAATACATAGTTGGTGCTCCATAAGCTGGTTCCACGCATTGTTGTGGAGCTTGTAGCGATGCTTGATCACGGACTAGGGTAAACCGGAACACAAGAGAAGCTCAATCCAGCGCGCGACGCATCTTACAGTGCATGGAGCAAAACTGGTTTTATTGTGGTAGCAAGTGGTCGACTTGTCCTTAGTATTAACAAGAGCTTCGATAGGCAGGACTCCGGTCGAGAAGAATCTAAACGTTGTACGTACGGGACTTTCGGAGACCGACTAAAGTTCTTTCTATTTATCAAGAAACAGGTATGAACTACGATCGAGTTTTCGTTTGGTTTTAGGTGTCCAGGTCACAGCACATGTATGCTGGTCTTGTATATGTAGAAGAGTCATTTTTAGTCTCCTTGCCATTTCCAATCCATTTACCGGCATTTCCCAAGAAAACGAATACACGCCAAGAATGGGGCCCCCAAAATATTATTGTTTGAGAAGCCGAAAGAAGAGTGTGTCCAGCCACGGGAATAGGTCGCTCTACACCCCAAAAATGGTTTTATCATTTCCTTAAGAGGATGCATAGATCTAGGCTAGATACATATTTTTTAATTTCTGTTTGTGTACAGCTAAGTATTCCTGTGGTCTAAAATCCTTGGGTATAAAAATATTACTTCGTGCAGGCGACGCTTGTTGAAATGGAAAGTTTGCTTGTATTTGGCATGTCAACCAGATAACATCTTCCCGAGGCAAGGGAGTTAGCTGACTATAGAAGTCCAGCTTCCACCCTTGCCGTTAAGGCTGGTATTATGGAGTTACATTTTGGCTGGACTAGCAAGTCTTTGCATAGTCCAATCAAAATCGTGCAACGAAATTGAAATCCGGTTCGTAAACTGCCATGCAGAATTCGGTCGATTGCAGGATTTGCAAAGCATTTGCACCGCCAACCCGTCAACAGATATTTTCTAAATCTTTTCATGTTGTTAATCAAGGTGCTCACATGATTTCATGCACTTCGCAATGTAACCCTCGTTTTATCACAGTATAGATCTTGATTATCAATCAGAGCGTCTTGACTGGCTGCCACCATTTTGTTTAAAGCAAATGCAAGTGATACAAGAGGTGGAATCTGGTTGGTCCATAGGCATAGAAGAGACATAACTCAAAATAACCACTGGTGGTGCTACGATTTAGCCCAGGAATTCCAGCCTAGTTCGGCAAGGGTGGAAACTGGACTTTTACAGTCAGTTAACTCTCTGGCTTGGAAAGATGCCAGATAAATGCTCCAACTTAGGCACAGGTGCTACAGATATGTACCCCAAGTACGTTACTGTATGCAGAAATGTGCCCTAGCCAAAATCAAAATTCAGAAACATATTCTGATATTGTCTGCTGAAAGTTTGGCTTGGTTTACACAAAAATTGAAGTTATAAATGGGGTTCTTGTTTTATTATCCATTTTTCACTATTTTTTTTCTGTTTGTTGTTTGCACCAAAGTCATGAAAATTCCAAATATGTGTATGCGGTCAGTAATATGGTAAATGATCAAGTCAAGTGGTTGACAATCGAGTAATCATAGTAATATTCTTCACCATCGAGGTACAATGACTCACTATCAACCAAGTCTGACCTAATCTAAGCCAGGTTCCCTTCAATCACTTACTTGTCTAAACTATAATCTGACAACAGATATTTCAAATCTCCCATAGTGCTGGTAGACCCATTATTATAGTCTTTAGTTTTATCATCCAAAACTGGCTCCCACAGGAGATATCGCTTGGATATATGCTTTGCAGACCATTGTGACGTCACTGGTTACCATGACGTCACAATCAAATGACATCACTAATGGCTCTGCTACTGAAGCTGTTTGCAGTACTTTTTACACTGAAGACACTGCTAATTACTGTCTACAAATTGAAAAAGTCGGAAGAATGATGTTGGATGATAAATAAAATCTCACCCTTGTGTCTTTTGATATCAAATATATCAACACTCGATTATAAAAGTGAAAAAATTCTGAGGCTTGCCATTGTGTTGATATATTTGATATCAAAAGACACTCGGATGAGATTCTCTATATGTCCTATTGGTAAAACTGTAGTTGGTGTTTCAGTGTGTTGAGACTGAGGTTTTTCACAATAACTATCTGACTCGACTTACACTCTTTACTAGGACTGGGACGGGTACCCACAGGACTACCCGGACCCGTGGTTAGTCACGTGATATATTGTTTAATGACAACAAATATCTAAAACTCTATGGTTACAAGTCACTAATGTTCATATTTCTTTCTTACAATGCACCCATTCATTCTGACCTTTATAGGTTTGAATAAAGATAATACTTCAGTCAACGTCAGTGTTAGCATGACCAGATAGTTTTATACATGCATCTAAATACACTTTTCCAGGGCTATGGTCAAACTATTCCAATTCGGACATTTTACACCAAAGTCTTGAGACGTAAAACGGGTAGGGTCGGGTAATAGTGTGGTAGGTACCTGGGTAGTAAATTTGGACTCGTCCCAGCCCTACTATTTACAATACAGATTGGTGTGTTATGTTGTGACTACTCATGTGTTGTTATAGAAAACACAAACAATGTCTTAACTGAACACCTGTTTAATCAATGTTTTGTGGTAGAGCTGATACTTTTCAGAAGCGATTGGAAGTACTAAACAGGTTTTCCAGAATTTAAGCTTTTGTTTCATAATAACACCTAGTCTCCACAGTATCTACAGACTCGGTCTGAGGACCACTGAAATAAAGTTTACACCAGTAAGTCCTCCGGTGGGGTGAAGTGAGGTGAAATGGGGTTTAACGTCACGTTCAAGATTACTGCACTTGTATAGCGACATGCATGCACGTGTGTGTGTTTGGCTGCTTGTACTAGTCAGACTGATGCCAATTTTATGGTGCTAACCCACTGACATACCATGCCTCAATTTAACATGAATACCCCACTCAGACAATGCATACTGACACCAAGCCGACCAGTCCTTGTTTTAGCCCTTGATGGCAAGCACAAGACAGGGTTTCAAAAGTAGCATCTTTTAACGTCTTTTGGTATGACGTAGCTAGAGATCACCCCCCGGCGCTTCCGCTTTGGGCGGACACCCTACCACAAGACCACGGAGGTGGTCATAAGTCTAATGTTAAAGACTAATCTTAAAAAAATGTTTTTGTATTATGGCTTGTAATGAATTAGTGAAACTTGTCTGTTTCTTTGCAGGAGTCTCCAGCCGTGAAACATGGGTGACCGTTACAACATCCACAGCCAACTAGAACACTTGCAGTCCAAGTATATCGGCACCGGCCACGCCGACACCAACAAGTGGGAATGGATGACCAACCAGCACAGAGACAGTTACGCTTCCTATCTCGGCCATCACGACACTCTCAATTACTTTGCCTTAGCGGAAAATGAAGCTCGAGCCCGTGTGCGGTTCAACATAATGGAGCGTATGTTACAGCCATGCGGTCCACCTGCGAAGCGTGCAGAAGATTAGAACACATTTTTCATATCTGTTCATCATCAAAGTACACATTGAGCTTGGACGTTGAGTCTCATTCAGATCATCATTGATCACATAGAATGAAGGAACCTTGTTTCACAATGTACTGACTATTGAGCATGCTGAAAGGTCATCAGACGTGTTGTGTATTCTGTCAGCATGTGGCAGGATGTGTCTTGATATAAAAACTTCAAGAAATGTAATAAATTTCACAATCTGAATTAAATCTCAAAATCGTTTGTCCTGAATCTGAATTTATTTTCAACATATAGATTCAGATACTTTGTCATGTTCATCACTATCATCGACTGTCTGGTGATCATGATGGTCTGGATATTGTATCTGTATCTAATGTATCTGTACCAGTCTGGACTACTCCGTCTTCCTGAGGCAAGGGAATTAACTGACTGGAAAAGTCCAGTTTCCACCCTTGCCGAACAACACAACACTGGGTTCGATCCAGTGGCTATTACGAGTTATGTCCTTTCTAAGTCACTCCTACTGACCAATCAGATTCCACCTTTCATATCTCTTGCATTTGCTTTAAACAAAATGGCGGCACCCAGTCAATACGATCTGATCGATATTCAAAATCAAATCAAATCAAATCAAATCATCAAATCACCTTGATTAAAAACATGAAAAGATTTTGAAATATCTGTTGATGCTAAGTTGACGGTACACATGCTTTGCAAATCCTGAATTTGACCGAAATCTTCCCAGCAGTTTACAATTGGATGTTATTTTCGTGAAGCGATTTTGATTGGACTATGCATAGACCCATGTAACAACAGGCACAGTTGAAATTCACTGTTTGGACTGCCTTGGCTTACAAAGTGATTGGGCTGGAGACCCATGTAGTCCAGCCAAAATAGAACTCCATGATTCCAGCCTAGTTTGGCAAGGGTGGAAACTGGACTTTCATAGTCAGTTAACTCTCTTGCCTAGGGCAGATGGGATGACTCAGTCTCTGCAGTAAGACATTGGCCAGGAAGGCACCACTGTGTAAACTGTTCTAGATGCCAACATTAGTAAGTAGCAGACCACAGTAGGGCTGGGATGAGTCCAAAGAAATGTGAATATTAACGACTTATAGAACCCTGGATTTTTATTGTTACAAGTATCACATGACTACCCGGGTCCTAATCAGGACACACCCTACCCGAGTTACCTGTCACAGCCAATGATGGTTGTTTTGTTGTTTAACGCCACACTCAGCAATATTCCAGCTGTATGACGGCGGTCTGTATATAATCGAGTCTGGACCAGACAGTCCAGTGATTAATATCATGAGCATCAATCCACGCAATTGGGATCGATGACATATATCAACCAAGTCCGCGAGTCTGACCACCCAATTCTGTTACTCACATTTTACGACAAGCAGTCACCTTTTATGGCAAGCATGGGTCGCTGAAGACCTATTCTACCCTGGAATCTACACGGGTCTCCAGCCCAAGACCACAACTGTGACTGAAGAATAAGATCATGTGTTTAATACACTGTTAGTCCTTTATGGACGAATCCCTTTGTAAGCCAAGGCAGTCCAAACAGTGAATATCAACTGTGCCTGTTGTTACATGACCAGGACAAGAAAAGTTGAGGTCCTGGATTTAACATTACTTGAAGGAGTATCAGTCTGTGCTGAATACTGAGTTTACAGTTACACTAGCCCAAACTTGGTGTCTTATTTCAGTTCCAGTAGATTTGTGACTGCCAATTGTTTCCAAATTTAAACGCAAAGGTTAACCCAGAAATCAGTTCTTACAGAACTAAATTGGGATATCAGCTTGTTTGTTTGTTGTTTAACACCACTCAGCAATATTCCAGCTATATGATGGCGGTCTATAAATATACAAGTTTCTACCAGACAATCCAGTGATTCATATCATGAGCATCGATCTAAGCTTTTGGGATACAATGATATGCATCAACCAAGTCAGTGAGCCTGACCACCGGATCCCATTAGTCGCCTCTTTCAACAAGCAGTCCCCTTTTATCATGTTTATGCAAGCATGGGTTGCTGAAGACCTATTCTAACCTGGATCTTTAGGAGTGTGTGAAATCAGTAAATGACCACACAAGTTTAAAGTGTAATTAAATTATATGGAAACCCAGTTTCAAGTTCAGAATCACCAAAGGCAAATAAGAAGTGAAGCAAGTGGCAGCAGCAGGCCCTAGAATGTAGGTCAGTGTCACAGTCCGACTCACTGTCAAATGTCTAGAAACAGTTCTGGAAGCTGTCAGGAATTCAGTGGTCTCAGATAGGCATCGAATCCATATTTGGCCCTTCCCTTAAGAAGTACCGACCATTGAAGATTCCGGGGTAGAATAGGTCTTCAGCAACCCATGCTTGCCGTAAAAAGCGACTAACGGGATCGGGTGGTCAGGCTCGCTGACTTGGTTGATGCATGTCATTGATCCCAATTGCGTGGATCGATGCTCATGATGTTAAACACTGGATTGTCTGGTCCAGACTCAATTATTTACAGACCGCCGTCATATAGCTGTAATATTGCTGAGAGTGGCGTTAAACAACAAACCAACCAATTAAAACGTACCAAATTTCACCGGCGAACAGAAAATGCAAATTTTAGTATACTTTAAAACTAAACTATGACCATGATAAATCAGATAAATCAGGCCAGGTACTTCTTGTGATTTATGTCTCGGCTGCTGTGACGGAGTTGTGTGTAGCATGGTGTTTAGTGTGTTTGCTCATCCCACTGATGAGTGAGTATGGTTTTATGCCACTTTTAGCCATATTTCGGCAATATCGCCAGAAATGGGCTTCACAGATTGCACCCATGTGGGGTCTTCCGTGTGACGAGCAACCGTCTAAACCACTAGGCTACCCCACCACCCCATTCCACTGAAGACTCAGGTTTGATTGCCATACATGACCGCAGTGTATGAGTTAGTGAGTGAGTATGGTTTTACACCGCTTTTAGCAACATTCCAGTAATATCACGGCGGGGGACACCAGAAATGGGCTTCACACATTGTACCCATGACGGGAATCGAACCCGGGTCTTCGGCGTGACGAGTGAACGCTTTAACCACTAGGCTAGCCGACCGCCCCCCACAGTGTATGAAGCCTATTCTTCTTGTCACAAAGGTGGAATATTGCTGAAACAGAATAAATCATGTTTCTTGCCTCGTCAAGGCACCACAAACTCATGACGAGTCTTCAAACATACAAAAACAACAATGTCCTTTGAAACAATTTATTTGTCACAATATTTTGATAACAAATTTGTGAAAAACCGTGGCATTGTATTCATAACATTCAAACTGTATATGATAGCACTTGTTCTGTAGTAGTACACTGATGGTGATACACAACACAAAGCCTCCAAATCCATCGTAACCAACATTGTGGGAGGTGAGAAACGCGGCTATGGTGCCCTCAAGGACTCGCATCATACCGGTAACATAACACAAAGCCTCCAAATCCATCGTAACCAACATTGTGGGAGGTGAGTAACGTGGCTATGGTGCCCTCAAGGACTCGCATCATGACATAACACAAAGCCTCCAAATCCATCGTAACCAACATTGTGGGAGGTGAGTAATGCGGCTATGGTGCCCTCAAGGACTCGCATCATGACATGACACAAAGCCTCCAAATCCATCGTAACCAACATTGTGGGAGGTGATTTTACGCGGCTATGGTGCCCTCAAGGACTCGCATCATGATACACAACACGAAGCCTCCAAATCACCCTGAACTGACACAGATGCGAGGTGTATCAACATGGCGCCCTCACTGGGTTAGTGTTAAAGTCTCCAAGGACCCTGGCATTGTATCCTGATTGTCCTGTATCCATGGCCACCATGTAATAATGTTCAAATGAGGAAACAAAAAACACAAAAACAGAAAGAGAAACACAATATCCAGATGGTACAATATACTCCTCACGTCAGAGACCATCTCGCCAACACGAACGGAGAGCGCTGTGATGTGAAATCTACAAATGGGCTGCTACAAAATATTGATAAATGCTTTTGTAACAATGGAGGAATTATTGCCTTACGTAGATGCAAAATGTGAGATTCACTTTAGTCAATGCCATTCATTTAACAAAAATTTGACACAAGCATGAACCAGTGCAATATCTGGTTACACGTCTGAAATGTTGATAATCACATGCATAACATGCACGAGCCATGCTTGACTTTAGTGCCATACATATATTAACAAGAGAATTTTAACCAACTACAAAATACAAAACTTAAACATTGAACTTTAGGCTAAAAAAAATAACAGTCTTGGTTCTCAGGCACCGCCCCATCATCATAAAGTCTGCCGCATGTTTTGTTTTTATTCCCATATTAAACAAAAATTAAAAATCCTGATACTTAAAAATAATGTGATCCACTATAGCACACAGTTACTTCCCTTTACATGCGCACTGCTTTACTGCACATCTCCTGTTATGGTCATGGCAGCAATAGGAGTTTTTACGCTTGTTTGTTCCAAGGTTGATGGTACACAACTGTTGATTTGGTTACATACTAGTTTGAACAAGCACAAAAAACAACATCCATGGCCCGCCCATACTATATTTTCAAAAGCCATTGCCCGAGAACCAATTCTTTTAAATTTTTTTAAGCCTTAATCAAAGATGATAAATGCAACGACATTTTTCAAACCAAGAATTTGCATAAAGGTAGGACAAACAATGAAAGGTATGTTCAAGAAAATGTTACCCAATACAGCAAATTATTGTGTGCAAGACAAAGCGGTACGAACATCTTGCAAATTGTGTGGTACAGACAAACTCCACATACTTCTCACACACATATATATATATATCGTACATCTGATTAACAACAGTTATGGAAAGATATGGAAACCTCTGGAAATGCATGGACGTGAGGCCTCCCCTTTGTCTGTGCCCTCGAACTGACCCTACAGACATGCCACTGTCTTTCTGATGCTCAGACAGACCATGGGTACGGAGGCACGTCTGGTTCTACCACAAAGCTTTTAATACTCATCATAGGCCCTAGATCAACTCGATCATGAACACCAGTTTATCATAATTAACATACGAAATTCTCAAGAAATTATATGGGTACATTATCTTAATTTTTTTGTGCAAGTAAGAACCAGCAATAAGTAGAATAATCTTGTCAGAAGGTGGAGGTTTAAGACCATTTACCCTCAGGTTTAATCAAACATCATACATTCAATTACGCTTTGTTCAATATCTGTTGATATCTACAAACGTCACATTGTAATTTGAAATTTGGTAACAGCTTAAACACTGTGCATACTTACAACATGTGAGGTGTTGAAATAATGTGGTATTTGATTTGGTATGTAGACAAACAGTTAATATGTTGAATCCCTGAAAAAAACCAGCACAAATGTTCTCTTAGGCTTCAAAAAGCCCATGACCCTGAACGCTAATCATGTAAGACATCCTATCAAGTCTGGGACCCCATTTTCATAAATGTTACATCACTGATCAAACAGCAAGAGTACAAATGCTTTTACCCTATTGAGAGCAAACTAAATGTAAGTTGGTAATCTGGTAATCCCCTCCATGTTTTTCCCCAGGTACACACTTGCTGACACAGACTGATGTGAAGACAACATCCTGACACACAATTTACACCATGTACACACACAAGTCCTTGTTTCATGTCATCATGGAAATATTGCCACCAACAGACAAACAGATACAACACACGTACTCCACATCGCCACTTTCCTCAGGTATGAATATGACCACATGAGTGTAACAACACACTGTGTATTTAATGAAATGCCTGGTACAACTGAAATAAGATCAGCAAACCAGTTATTACCTGTTCATAAGATGAAAATAATAATGAGTTCATTTGGACCTATTTCATGTCAGTCCAATCACCAATCTCATTCAAATCAGATCTAAGTTTTCGCTACCGCTAAACAAAGATCTGAGGACATCCCATTACGGGTCACTTCAGAACGACCTTTCGCGAATTTTGACCAACCAATGAAATGACTGACAAGAAATCGACATTAGCCAATCAGAAGGCAGCTTTCTCTGGCCTTACGACACTAGTTTCAAACTGGCGACTATGCTTCGAAACATATTTTGAGGTATTCTCGATTAAAAAAAATTAAACTGAAAAGAAGAACATTCTGGAATTTCTTATAGATGGCCTAGATTGTATGGATATAATCATAAAACCCATAACTGTCTTTCGGAATACCCCGTGTTAAATATTTCGTGGTTGTATGATTAGAAATCACATTCCGACTGTCACTTTCATGATCTGGTAACCGACGCTCTGTTTGGTTGGATGAAAGGTCGTTCTGACGTGACCCTTAATGGGATGTCCTCAGATCTTTCTTTAGCGATGACGAGAACTAAGATCTGATTTAAATGAGATTGGTCCAATCACCCACAGGTCACCTTACCGAGGCAAGGGAGTTAACTTTGAAAGTCCAGTTTTCACCCTTGCCGAATTGGACTGGAATTATGGAGTTATCTTCCTGCTGGACTAACAAGTCTATGCATAGTCCAATCAAAATCGCGTAACAAAAATGACATCTGGTTCATCAACTGCTGTGCAGATTTCGGTTGATTGCAGGATTTGCAAAGCATGTGAACTGCCAGCTCAGTGTCAACAGGTATTTGCCAATCGATTTTTTTAACCAAGGTGCTCACGTGATTTGATGAAGATCTTTTTAATTACAATAAAGATCTTGATTTTCGATCAGGTCTTCTTGACGGCGCAGCCATTTTGTTAAGACCAAATGCAAGTGATATGAGAGGTGGAATCTGATTTGTCAGTAGGAGAGACATAGAAGGGACATAACTTGTAATAGCCACTGGTGGCACCACTATCAAGCGCAGAAACTCGACAGACCGACATTTAAGGACAGTTAACGCCCTTGCCTCGGGAAGATGCCCACAGTATGAAACATGATGAAATACCAGCACAAAGCAGCCCATCACAAGCACTTTACTAGACAACAATAAGAGTCCTTAATACTCCGCACAGACATCAGTAAAGATATGTCGTTGTTCAGTTACCATGGCAACAAGTCTGAAGTAACATCCACATGTTACTGTCAATTACCTGAAAAAAACATACGCCTCCTTGTCTGAGATACCACGGAACAGTCTGTCTTGCGGCTAGTGCCCTTATTTGGGATTAGCATACTGTGTCAATAGCACCCACTCTAAACAGCTGCTCACAGAATATGAAACATGAGTCGACTGCAGCAGTGTTCTTGCTCCTGTGAAGGAAGCTGTACCGAATAAACCCACCCACCCACGAATACAGCAACAAGGTTAATCCTGACTCTCTTCACTGTCAAAACTGTCATCACTGGTGTCAAGGGCTTCGTCTTCTTCTGACTCGACTGTCGTGAAGCACCTCTGACCCTTGTTGCGAGCACTCACGATGGCGTTGCTCCCTTCCAGGAATCGCTTCTCACGGAGCAGGGTGACCCGGTCAATCTCTGTTTCCTCCGCCTTGTGCTCCACCACGAGAGGGTAGATGTGCTCAATGGCTGATTGGACGTTTGCTACTGATGGAGCTGGAATGCAAATGAAAAAAGAAACTCGAGGTGAAATTTGTCTTCACAATGACAGCACCTATAATGAAATACTACTGCCATATTAAGACAGCGAGATTGATTTCATTCCAATTCTAACTATAGTTCAGATACCGTATTCAGACGCAGGTCACGATCAGATGTATGAAAAAAGGAATGTTTAGTGAGATTAATTTGAAATTGCTGACGAAAATACTGAATGAAATCATATTTATGTTATTATTAACCAAACCTGTCACAATGAAAGTGGTTTTAACAGCTCACATATTCCGAACGAAACAAACGGCAAAACAGGAAGTGACCTTGAACTTTATCAGGTTTATTTCATGGCATGCCATCTCCATATCTGATGCAAGCTCACAGTGACTCAGGTCAGTGATATGAACAAAACTTGTTAAACCGAGTAACACAGACACGGTTCAGACCAACCAATAATTGTAATTGTGGTCAATTAAAATCCCATGAGCTGGGATCCAACCCTCACAGCTGGCCACAGTATCAGCCACATTGAAAAAAGACTTCGAAACCCCTTGAGTGAGTGAGTGAGTGAGTGAGTGAATATGGTTTTACGCCGCTTTTAGCAATATTCCAGCAATATCACGGCGGGGGACACCAGAAATGGGCTTCACACAATGTACCCATGTCGGGAATCGAACCCGGGTCTCCGGCGTGATGAGCGAACGCTTTAACCACTGGGCTACCCGACCGCCCCTCGAACCAATTGGGGTGTAAACATTGGTCGGAACAAGCAAGTTTCAGCTTCATTTGTGGAGAGGATGTTTACGACGCACAACAAACAGGCCATGATATATGCTCACTTGACATCTCTTGCAAGACTATGGTTATAAAAAATACCCACCTGTTACTGTAATACTGCCTGTGGAGAAGATTTTGAGTGTGGCTTTAGGATCCTTTATCCTGTAAGTCACTCCTGGATGCAACTCTGGCTCGTAACTACAACACAATCAAACATAGATTTCACATTTGTCAACAATGAAGCATTTTACACGCTCCTAATATTCCACTGATAAGTAGTTCAGGAAAATGGCAGACTTATTTCATTACATATAGTCTCAAGTACTGATTCAACTATAAAACTATGTAAACAGTGTGTTTGGTTCTTAATGTAGCTTTGAACATTATTTCAGTTATATCGTGGCGCATAAGCTTCATGAGGGAGGAAAGCTCAAATGTCTTAGACATTTACCACTTTACGTATGGTGCTGACAATTCAAAAAACATAATCAAGATAAATCTGGAATTCCCATCCATAATCTTTGCTTTCTGGCACGCCTAAGGGAAGTAACTCCACACAGCAAATTGTGACATCTTAAACAACTGTCACCCATACCCATTCTATGTGAGTGAGTAGGGTTTTATGCCGCTATAAGCAATATTCAAGCAATATCACGGCGGGGAACACCAGAAATGGGCATCACACATTTACCCATGTGGAGAATCGAACCCGGGTAATCAGCGTGGCACCCATTGTACGTAAATGACAATATACAATGTAACTTGTTTTGGACAAAAATTATTATTTGAATAAATGATTACTTTTGATGAAAACATCTGTGCCTTAGACAGAGTTTGAAATGAACAAAACATTTGCCAGCTTGCCATCTGGACCCACAAGACTTTAATAAATGCAGGCCCTGACAAAACTCTCCTCAGTTAAACAAAATGCAGGCTATTGTGACAAATCAATCGATATAAAAAGTACAGCAGGTCATCAGGGCCAATACAGTAAGGGCCCAGCACAGATCAGGCAGGTGCTTATTTCAAACAATGACCTAAGGGCATATATGTTCTGGATAAAAAGCAACAGTCAAAAGAACTCCTAAGGGTAACCTACACTCTGCAATAGCATAGACGCCTTTTACAGCAAGTATGGATTGCTGAAGACCTATTCTACCCCGGATCTTCACGGGTCGATTGGCAGATTTGAGGTGAGGTAAAATGGGGTTTAACGTCGCGTCCAAGATTATTGCACTTATATAGCGACGTGCATGCACTTGTGTGTGTGTGTGGCTGCTTGTACTAGTCTGGACTGATGCCGATTTATAGTGCCAGCACACTGAGATACCATGCCGTATTTCAACATGAATACCCCACTCAGACACAGTATACTGACTCCGAGCCGACCAGTCCTTGTTTTAGATCCTTAATGCTGAGCACCAGACAGGGTAACAACAAGTACCATCTTTTAACGTCTTTTGGTATGACACGGCTGGGAATCGAACCCTGGACCTTCCGCTCTCCGGGCGGACGCTCTATCATTAGACCACGGAGGCGGTCTTGGCAGATTTGAAGAAATGACAACATGTTTACACATGCATATACATATAAATGTTCTTCAATTTTGCTTGGAAGGTGTGGGGTCCTTGACATAGCCCTAATGTTGCAAATGATATATTCAGGGTGTCTAGATGGTAATATTGCAACAGCAACCCTCAAGGACCCTAGGACCTCCTTAACTTCTAACACTGATATGGCATCAAGTGCCAATGCTCTTCATAACAGCTGTTTCTCAGAAAAGGTAAAAATGTGCAAGGTTTATGCCAACCACACATGCCATAAACAAGGTTGTTGAGTGTCACAATAGCAGCTCAATCTAGGTAAGTTGAATTCTTTCTTCAAACCTACCTTGCTTCTTCTCTGTGAGCCTTAGAAAAGTTTGTAATTTTGATTCCAAATGGTAGGCTGCAAGTTCCCAGTACATTGACTACTCTAAAGTTGGTGAAGCGTACGTTGAAGCCAAGCCTCTGAAGGCGCCGAGCAATCCTTCTCCCTGCTCGATGTGAGTCATCTTCACTGAAACCATATCAGCCAGTCATAAAAATCTAGTAATCATATTTTGGTGCCTCAAATTTCCAAATTGCAGCAATAGCAACTAACAATTTTAGTCCATTGGGCCTTATACATACAGCAAAACCCTTAAAAACGGCAAGTTTCTACTGCCCTTATGATACCTTAACTATTCAGCAACTTGGCAAGCATTGAGATTGTGGTCGTTTGTTGTTTAACGATGCGCTAAGAAAATATTCCAGCTCTATGATGGCAGTCTGTAAATAATCAAGACTGGATCAGACAATCCAGTGATTGCCATCATAAGCAACAATCTACTCAAATGATGACATGCGTGACCATCCAATCCTGTTAGTTGTCTCTTACGGCAAGCATGGGATGCTGAAGACCAATTCTAACCTTCACGGATTAGTTTGGCAAGAACTATGGGACCGATTTCTACTGTAATAGTGAGTACGGTTTTACGCCGCTTTTAGCAATATTCCAGCAATCTCACAGCAGGGGACACCAGAAATGGGCTGTTGTAATAATGGTCAAGTTCACACACTGTCTTAGTAATTACATAACCAGTAGATAATCAATACCAAGACTGAGAAGATTATCCCTGGACAGTTGCTTAGAAATCAGCCAGCGTGACAAATATTTCTAACACCTAAGTTTGTTTGAAACACTGCACCTGGTTGCTCCCGTGCATGTGATCTTCCCTGAGGACCAAATACTAGCTGTGGTATATGGACGTCTCAACTTCATATTCAACATCTGAAACATCAGGACAAATGGATAAGCAAACATTTCCTTACAATTTCGAGGGTGCCATGACTGTAAATGATCCTAACAGGGAGTACTACAATATTCACTCATCCACTCATTTATAATCACTCATTTAAGTTTACTGATAATCTAAATAATATTATTATGGTAATGAAGTTCAATTACATTTGCTGTTTAAATACATGATTTAGCATCAAAGAAAAATAATAATAATGTCAACCTGAAACAGTTTTATACTAACATATGCCAAATGCACTTTTTTCAGTTATTCCCGTGCTATGAATGGTCCATTAACTCCTTGTCAAGAGAACTTACGCCTTGCTCCTGTTTGTATTCAACATGGCATCCTTCTAGAGCTATTCTCTTCAGGTTCAAGTGGCACCTTGTGTTGAAGCTGCACACGACATTGTTAATTGTGATATCAACAACTGGTTCGTCGTCCACATGTTCTGCACCATTTCCGTTTCCCATCAAACCATTCAGGAGCTCTGGGGGTATTTCTCCCGGTTCTAACACACCGGGTGGGTAAAGCGTTTCTGTTGCCATGCTCACAAGATTTTTCTTCCAGGAACACTCAGTTCACAAGCGCCAAAGGTGATTAACAAGTGAACCGCTTTATCTTAAAAACAACTTCCCTTGTTAATGACCAAATGGATGTGATAGCGATTCTTGGAACACATCCAGTAACCGTCTATCACAAATCAATGTCCTGAAAGAACTGAGCATGCATTTTTGTACGCGTCTCGGTTCAGTGAGGTTGATTGGCGTCTCTCCGTGAAAAGAAAAAAGTTCAACGGCGACTGTTGGGAAGAATGGGAGATAATGTGACTATCACACTGACCGGAGGCAAACTAGCATCTACAAACTATGTACAAGTCAACATTAACAGGAGAGGCTTTCCAGCAAGGAGTTTCTTCCTTCGCCCGGTTTTTCTCTTATCTCCCGCATCGAAGAGTTTCACAAGGGAACTAACTCTTCTGGCGCGCCAACTGTTCCAGATTTGGCGGTAGAGTGCATGCGCGCTTCTCAAGAACCTTCGTGGCCAAGCCGACAACCGGTTGAATCTTCCGTAGATGATTTCAACAACACGAAAAAGGCGTGGCCACCATGTCTCCTCATTTACAACTAAAAGTATCATTTCTTTATAACTTTGTTCAGTATTGTGTGGAATTGCATGAAACATTTATATCCAGAGGTGTCTTGGATAGCCCTTATGAAAAAAAAACGACAAAAAGTTATTTATAGGATATGATGTCCATGCCCCTGACGATATGCTGGAGTCATATAGAATACTAAACGAGCTCCCGTGTAATACCAATTTTATGAAACGAGTGAATAGTTGTGGTATCTGACGAGCGAAAGCGAGTCTAATACCACAACTATTCACGAGTTTCATAACATTTGTTTTACACGGGAGCGAGTTCAGTATTTTATTTATTACTTGCCATTTATAACGTTTTTTAGAATTATGCTGTTGAGTGTGAATAGGCTGACACCTACACGACCCACGGCATAATCCAATTGCGTTCAACATAATAATACTTCAAACACGTCAAAAGTTGAAACGTATGAATTTAATACCATACAACGGTCTACCTTCAGAATTCAGGCGTCCGTTCCACAAAACTAAGGTTATCGCAACTCGCATACTTTAACTTAGACCAACGACTGTCGTTGCGCTACAGTACGATCGCCTTGTTGAGCGGGCCTTGCACCTCAAAGTTTACAATCACGTCACTGTACCCGATGACGTAATTTGTGGAATTTTGTTGCAAGATCCATCGGCGAAACAATGCCATGTGACGTCAGCCTAGCAACAAGGTTGCGACCCCTTTCCACAAGTCTTCCCCTCCAATCAGGGATAGGGCCTCTCAAAATAATTATGGGAATACATCAGCGCACGTCATTATACTTATGTGACATGTTTAGAGATGTTTAGATGTTTGTTGTTTACCCCGCACTCAGCAAGATTTCCCCTGTATGTGACAGACGTCTGTAAATAATCCAGTGATTGACGTCATGATCATCGACCTTCGCATCTGGGATGCGATAACATGCATCAATCAAATCCAGGAGCTTGACCACTCGAGCCCGTGTATGACAAGCTTAAAGGTGGCTGGAGACAAAATTACGAGAGGAATGCGTCATAAATTGTCAATATATATACGTTAGTGACCATGGAAATAGTATCAATGACCGGTGTTCAGCATATATTTTTGTTGCTTAAAGATCAGAGTCCGATCATTCTCCTCTTGAACCATCTTGTAAATATGTAACGATACACATGCACAAAAGTTAAGCGCCACCCACCATATTTGTGAGCTGTTACTTTTGGCACTTAATGATGACTATTATAACGAGATGTACGATTGTTATAAGCCGTATATATGTAAACCTCATGTGATGCAAAAGTTGTCCCAAAGCAAGTTTATCTTGTGTTCCAAAAGAATATGAGCAGAATGGAATTTTACCGAAGACCAGAAATTGAAGGATTAGAAAACATTGAACAACTTTTTTTTGTCATGTAACTGTCATGATATCAGCAGACCATATCAGGTGTCACATAGACACCCTTGGGAGTGCAGAGTCTATTGCAGGGCAGAAACGTCAGTAACGTGTGTATGATCCACGGACATTGACCACAGCTTCAACCCTACGCCTCATACTCATTACAAGTCGTCGAATGCTTCTCTGAGGCAAACGGATCCATTCTTCATGATGTGCGGCTTCAAGTCCAGCGAGATTTTGAACTGGGGGATCACGATGTCTGATTTTCCGGCCAAGAATGTCTCAGAGATGCTCAATCGGATTAAGATCCGGACTACAGGCCGGCCAAGGAAGAGTGGCAATAGCTTCTTGACGCAAATAAGCCAAAACTGCCCGAGATCTGTGTGGTCTAGCATTGTCGTCCATGTAAACAGGTCTTGTCTGAAGAGGATTGTTGTCAAAATGAAGGACTACCACTGGACGAAGAACGGCATCTTGGTATTGTTGGCCATTCAGGTTTGCAGTTTGCAGCCGATGGAAACACAACCCAATATCACGACAGACCCCCCACCACATGCTAAGGTCTTCTGGATGTTCCTTGGTGCAAAACGAGTTTTACGTTGCCTCCAAAAACGTATTCGACAATCAACAGTTCGTAGCAGCATTCGACACTCGTCAGACCAATGGATCCTTCTCCAGTTGGCCAAGTTCCATCGACTACGGGCACGACACCATGTCAGATGATTCCGCATGTGCCTCTCAGTCAGTTGAGGACGTTTTACTGGTCTTCTGGCGTTATAACCAGCCGCTCTGAGGCGACGCCTTACGGTCATCGTCGAGAGTCTCCGATGGGTAATCCACTGCAGTCTTAGATCTGTTGAAGTGGCAAATGGATTTCGTCTGACTATCCTGAAAAGACGTCTATCCTCTCTGTTAGAGGTCTTTCTTGGCCTACTAGACCTATGCCTGTCATTGACATCATTGGTTTGACCATGTTTGGCAATCAAACGAGTGATAACACTGTGATGACGACCCATTTGTCTTGCGATGGCCCTGCATGACATGCCAGCATTTTTCATGCCTATCAGCGTTCGTTAACTTTCTCCTCACCATGGCTGATTTTCAACCTCTATTGGAAGGGGAATCTCACACAGGAGCAAAATGCAACCACGTGTCTGAAACTTGAATTTCACTATTTATAGGGTAGGGGAACTTTCAGCAACACGTAAAGCACGCTTTCCTTGTGGTATCTGGACAAATTTGGGTTCATGAAACTATGGAAGCCTAATTCATTCATACATCATCATATTTCGTATTTCTGATTCCGACACGTGAAATCAAGCGACTATGAATATGGTGGCGCTTAACTTTTGTGCATGTGTATATTACAGGTGTAGAATGTGTGGAACGATGCTCAGAAGACTTCCGGTTTGATGTCATCTTAGACTGGCTACTGCTTCATGGAGAGGTAAACGAAGATACAGCTTTGAACGTTTTTGTTGTAAGCATGAAGGCAACTCTCTAATTCACACCCGGGATCTCAGAGAATAGTTTTAAATGTTGAATATGGATCATCTTACATGTCTACAGGAAGCACTTCGGCAGTAGGACGTTACCTCACAGAACAGACGAAAAGATTTTCTTATAGATACGTTGGAGCTGTAATTTACAAATTCAGCAATATAAAGCTGACAAATCATGTAAATCTTTGGGTAAGCCTTTAAAATTTTAGAGAGAAATTCAACCAATTGACACAAAATCAACCACCATGAGTAAAATCTCTCACGATGAATGACAAAGTTACTTTAAAGATGCTTTCAGACATGTTTGAGAACTTGACATTGACGCTGATGAAGATTATTATGATGACCATACAGATGTCGACAAATGTATTTTAGGTGTAGCCATTACTGCTGACTAAAGTTGTGATGTCACTTAAACATGGAAAATCACCCGTTAATATTGTAGTTAAATTTCCGAAAAACTCCCGAGTTCATAATTCCATTTATTTTTCAAACCATTTGTTAGTTCATGTATCTCCTCTAAAACATCTCCCCCAGCACTTGGACGAAATCTCATGTCGTACCTCTGCAAACTGAAGGGGTTTCTAGTATAAAAAAACAAACACTTGGGTCAAAATTCATGAAACGCGAACTGGCCAGTACAAGTTATTCCAGGACTGACTTCATTTTAACCTTGTATGCTATAATTCAGAAACCGGTATTTCAGTGGGGAAAAAAGTTCAATGTAGCATATGTAGGGTTTTGAAAGCATTTGATTCTGTGAATCGCCAAAAGTTATGGTCTTGTTTGAAAAGCGCTGGGTTTATTGGCAAAATTTTAAGAATCTTAATAAGTGTGTATTCGTTTTGTCTGTTTGTTTGTTGTTTGACTCCGGAACTCAGCAATTTGTGAAGATCCAGGTTAGAATAGGTCTTCAGCAACCCATGCTTGCAGTAAGAGGCAACTAACAGGATCAGGTGGTCAAGCTCGCCGACTTGGTTGATGCATGTCATCATATCCCAAATGCGTAGATCAGTGCTCATGATGTCAATCACTGGATTGTCTGGTCCAGACTCGATTACTTACAGACCATCGTCATAAAGCTGGAATTTGCTCAGTGCGGAGTTAAACAACAAACAAACCTCGCTCTGGGTCACACAGTAACACAATGAGCACATGGATACACATGGCTCTGTGTATAACAAAACATATTCGAGTTGAGATAAGCAGCACAAGCACTGCCTGTGAATGTCGGTGTTCTGTGATATCTGTGATCTTATATGACATTTAGTTTGTGTTTATGAAGTAATAACCACCAACAAATCCCAAAGAACCAAGTACAGGACACAGATTTGCACACATATCAACATCAGAAAAAGACTAGGAATCGTACTTCATTGTTAATTGTAGTTTTGCATTTTGTTTTTCAGTTGATTGGTATTTTTGGCCAATGTATGCAACACTTTCACAACACGTGATCAACCGATAAGCCATGTGGTATGAAAGATGAGATGTGGTAATGTGTTTCAACTTACAGTATTCCTTGTCAAAGATCCTATACCCATATCTGATCATGGCATTCTTGAAATTATGTTTTTTTCCCCCTGATTCTGTCCCCCCAAAAATTGTTCAAGAAAATGCTTATAAAAAGTATTTCAGACTGTTGCAAAAAAGGAATTGTGCAAGAAATAAATTGTTGAAAGATGTTTTATACTTGTTTTTGATTTCGTATAATAGTTTTAACTAAAAGAATATCAGGTTTTGCAGCTTTAGCTGAAGAAATATCCAGCCTACATACAAGATCCCAGTGATGGAGTGAACCGGTATATTGAAATGCAGCAATGCAGCATCTACCAGTGCTGTGTGCACTGAAACCACTTGATGTCATGTTTCGTCATGGAGGCAGTGGATAGCCCAGTGGATCCAGTGTTTGCTTGTCACAACAAAGACCCTGGATGAAGGACTGGCAACCACATGATAATATATTCAGGGATAGAGGAATACCAGTCTTTGGTGGGTTTTTAGAAAATGGGCTGGCCAACCATTGTATTCATTTAGGCCTGGTGGACATGGTGCATGCACAATATTGTTTGTTTGTTGTTTGACGCCACACTGCACATTTCCAGCTATGTGGCAGTGGTCTGTAAATAATCAAGTCTGGATCAGACAATCCAGTGATCAACATCATGAGCAACATTCCAGGCAAGTGGAATAGGATGACATGCAATCAACTGCGTCACCCGGCCTGACCACCCAATCCCAACTTTGATTTTGTATGTCAGGTCCTTTTGTGCAAAGGTGGATCTCGTGGATCTTACACAGTTAGTACATGGCTCATGCTGTAATCTTTTGCATTACCAAATAGGAAATCTTATTTATTGCAACTTAATAGAAATAGAGATATAAATGTTTACACTAAATATTTCCCTACTGCTTCTTTCGTTACTTTCACTGCTGAATAGGTAGCCAAACAATCTTGTGGTCTGGCCAGAATCAATGTTAAACTTGTTGTTGTGGAAAGGAAAACAAATAAAAAATTTAAAAAATCCCTTAATAGCAAAAGGTACCAGTTGACAACCTGGTCTGTGCAAAGTTTCATGAAAGAAAACATATAAGCTTTAGGGATATGATCCGGAAAAAAATAATGATTACAGACGGACAGACAAGCTGATTACAATCTCTCTCTCTCTCTCTCACTCACACACACACACACACACACACACACACACACACACACACACACACACACACACACACACACACACACACACACACACACACACACACACACACACACACACACACACACACACACACACACACACACACACACACACACACACACACACACACACACACACACACACACACACACACTAATAACCACAAAATGATGCTGATTTCAACTTTTATTCCTTAACAATATCAACAATACAGGAGGAAGAAAAGGGACTGATTCGTGTAAATAGTTTCTTAACCAGTTCAATTGACAGTGTCTGGGTACAAGGGGATAATAAGGTGACGTCATGCAGCCTTTGTGCCAACCGTCACGAATGGAATGATAAACAATACCACTTGAATATACAGTCCCCCTACAGTAGTGTGCTGATGAAATGTTCCCCGTCAGGAAGGTACAAAAAACCTCGGACAGACTAAGAGGCAAGCCCACTTCACAAGAAACACTTGATTCCACTTCAGAATTTCAGGATGGTGGTCAAAATTTGTTCAATTTAAACCTTTTCGGTGGGTGTGTTAGCACATGCTTGCTGTCATGTTTGGAGGAGGATATCATGTTTGATACGTCTATGTCATGAATCTTAATGCTACTGAGTATGCCAACATACACATCCAATACACACAAAACAAAGTCAATACTCATCCAATATTCAAGAAGCTTCAAGTACAATGCGGTTCAAGATTCATACAAGTCAACACTTGACAAGCTTGCTGACACATGATGTGAGAGATACGTTCCATCACCATGTGGCCAGACAGCACATTGCTTTCACGACACCTTCCATCCCACTACCAGTATACACATCAGGGGTTACAACATTGTATCAATCAGTAAACAAGCACAATTATTGCACATCTGCTACAAGGTGAATCCAGATAGACAATGCTTTGATGGACAATCTTAACTCAGTCAACACTTTTAAATCTTAAATATACTCCCCACCAAAAGAAATGTGTGCCATAGGAACATAGAGAAGTATGTACGTTGAAGAGATGTTTCCAATGTGTACCAATTAACTACAAAACTAAAAATCAGTTAAGTGTTACCACAGTGTCCTTATTCTTATCACGATATGCTGCACGTGAATTCCAACTTTACACAAAGCCTCCATGAGACGAATGAATCTATGACATCACATGTGATGCGTTCATGAGCGTTGGTTCACACAACATACCAGTATGTTCGTTTGTGCATCGAACAGTCATCTCTTGAATATGAGTAGTTCTTCATACATTAACCAACATGTATGGTATTCATGTTTCTTTTGTCGGTGAGTATATTAGCATGATATTCATGACGTGCACGAACTGTGCAGACTGATAAAGATGTGTACCGGTACCTATGACATTCACATCTAACAGTTAAAATGACAAGATTTGAAGTTGGAAAACCTATCGCCGGTTTTTAACAGTGATACAGGGATAAGCATCATGAAATCAATAGAGAAACATATTTAATAATTTTCAAGAGACATACAGACTGAATGTTTGTTAACTGAGGTTGTTGCTACAACAGCTAGCTTTGCTTGACTGACGGCTACAACAGTAATGAGTGAGTGAGTGTGGTTTTCCGCCGCTTTTAGCAATATTCCAGCAATATCACGGCGGGGGACATCAGAAATGGGCTTCACACATTGTACCGATGTCGGGAATCGAACCCGGGTCTTCAGCGTGACGAGCGAACGCTTTAACCACTAGGCTACCCGACCGCCCCACAACAGTAATGATACAGCAGCCCTATGGACCTAGCCTAGGCGTTGCTACCCACAGAGAACAAGGCATTACACTGCTTACACAGCAGCCCTATGGACCTAGCCCAGGCGTTGCTACCAACAGAGGACAAGGCATTACACTGCTTACACAGCAGCCCTATGGACCTAGCCTAGGCATTGCTACCCACAGAGGACAAGGCATGTGCACTGCTTACACAGCAGCCCTATGGACCTAGCCTAGGCGCTGCTACCCACAGAGAACAAGGCATTACACTGCTTACACAGCAGCCCTATGGACCTAGCCTAGGCGCTGCTACCCACAGAGGACAAGGCATGTGCACTGCTTACACAGCAGCCCTATGGACCTAGCCTAGGCGCTGCTACCCACAGAGAACAAGGCATTACACTGCTTACACAGCAGCCCTATGGACCTAGCCTAGGCGTTGCTACCCACAGAGGACAAGGCATGCACACTGCTTACACAGCAGCCCTATGGACCTAGCCTAGGCGTTGCTACCCACAGAGAACAAGGCATTACACTGCTTACACAGCAGCCCTATGGACCTAGCCTAGGCGTTGCTACCCACAGAGGACAAGGCATGTGCACTGCTTACACACACCACTGAATCAGTTCTAACCAGACATCGCCAAGCTTCGTTACGTTAATTTCAAACATGATGAAATGCAGTCAAAGCTTTGGCAAAGTTTCCGTGGAAAATGGCTGTAATAAAAGGACATCAGTAAGAAATGCATGTCATTGTGTATGAAGACATGATGAACACAATAAGTACCACAGCTAATTTGGTTGATTTAAAAGATTCTTAAAAAATAATTTATAAAGCTCATTTGAAAAGAAAGTATAATAATCAGGTTGGACTTCCTATCATTTCAAAATGTACACCTGAACATCGTGATCTGCCGTACAGCACATAAAGCATGGTTAACACATCTTTGTAAAACGGCTCTACTGCTTGCATTGAGTATGCACGCCATACGACACATTACACCAAATAAAAAAAATATTATCATACACAAGATGTTCCTTATAAATAAAAAGTAACACATGTTCTCGATGTCAAAGACTTTAACAATGGGAATGTTGTCCCGAATTCATGGCAACTACTAAGTGTCATTTGTGACATTGTAATGCTTTAAATATCGACCCTAGCTAGTCTCATTGTGACAAACAATACCTCAACAGATAGAACAAACTGTTTTTTTGCATTAACTATTACACCATTGAAACTTGCATAAACCACATTACTTATAGACAATCTGCATGAGTTGCGAAATGAAACAATGTACATGATTTAAACTTTACAAACAATCTGTACAGATATCTCCTAAATACAGCGTAAATGCTGATCTCGGACGAGGATGCTGGCGTCCACCTACACCATCAACCACACACAAAACAAATCCTAAGTAAACTCCAAATTAAAAAAAAATAGCACTCGGATAAGGAAATATTGCAGTCAATAGAAACACACACACCCCATGGCAGCATGGAACGAAACAGTTTAACCCTCTAACATCACAACAGAAGTCTCATCATTGAGATGGATTCAAACACTGACAAGTCATTGGTCATTTTTAAAGACCATTTGCTGTTACAAATTCAGACCTTTTATGAGCACTCAAATGACTTAACCACTGCTTATGCTGTGCAAAGGAAATGATTCATTGCATGATAAATGTGACAAACCATGAGATTAGGGACCTTTTGGGTGATAAAATCACATTTTGACTTATATTTTAAAACTACAGTATCCTAGGACCACAAAAATACAATTCATAACCTTCAATTCATATATATTACAGTATTTTCTTGAGTATAGTGCGCACCCATGTATAATGCGCACCCCCCACTAGCGGATTCAGTATTTTGGAAAAAACAATTCGAACGTCAAACGCAGAAAAAAATTACACCGTAGATCTACCCCCCCCCAGCGAAATCCGGTAAACGAAAAGGGTGATGAGAAACTTGGTCGGTACAAATTCGAAATTTGAGATACACGGCATAAAACATTTGGATAAATTTTCTGCAAAGTGAGTGAGTGAGTGAGTGAGTATGGTTTTACGCCACTTTTAGCAATATTCCAGCAATATCACGGCGGGGGACACCACAAATGGGCTTCACACATTGTACCCATGTCGGGAATAGAACCCGGGTCTTCGGCGTGACACGCGAAAGCTTTAACCACTAGGCTACCCGACCGCCCCTTTTCTGCAAAGTCTCCTCCTCAGATGTATGTGATGATTACAGTTTTTAGAAAGAATGTCTGATTAATTGAAAGTAGACATGTATGCTGAAATGTTTTGAAATAACGTTTTTATTACATTACAAACTAACGAGAGAATAAGATATTTTTGTAGTCCGAACACATTTATATGGAAAAAAATTGGCGTCAAACGTCTTTCTTTTTGACGTCACAGCACAATTGTAACATAGCACCCTGAGGTCCCATTTCTCCTTGCAGGTCACAAATATTAATAATAAATGGTAATAATTTTCGAGAGGATTCATACCAGAAAGTCAATCTCATAAGAGATCAAAACTGTCATATGTGTTTGTTTTACATGTTGCGTAGCTGAATAAGCATTATACAATGGTCGAACATAACTGTTACAAGACTCGGGCACACCAGCATGGAGTGACTGTGATAACCTCCCACACAGGGCTACAGCATGTTATCCCACACTGGACTAGTGCATATCAAACATGACACGGATGTGGATGTTATAACCTATTTGATCCTTTCTTAAAAAGAAAACACACAAAAAACTAAACTTTGATCCAACGTGAATAATTTTCAGTTTACAAACACTTGAGTTCATGGTCAGTTTTGATTCACAACCCATGAAACTTGACAATTGACAACAGAGAAGATACTGTTAATATCTCAGCACAGGTCTGGCTTAGCTGTGATGGTACGCTGAGGACAGTAGGTTATGTACATGGAATCTATTGGTAGAAGTTAGTTTCACAAGAGTTGTCTCCCTTGCTATTTACTTGCTCCTGTCGGCAGTAAAGTTGTTTTCAAAAATTCCTGTACATCTACCATTTCCTGCAACAGAAAAGAAGCATGGGCTATATGCAATTGTTTGTGTGTTCAAGTACTTGCGATCTGAAGATTGATTAATGGTTCATTATGAAATTTGTTAATATAACTTCATTTGACAGCCATTAACAGTCCAGAGGCTGACATTCATCCTAAACTCAAATGTCAGTCAAAATTCCGAAATTAAAATTTAAAACTTCCCAAATTATGTTGTCAAAGTCATAATTAGTGTTATGGGGACTTGTATTTCACTGATAACAGGACCAATAAAAAGGAAGAAGCTTTTCTCCTACGTTTGATATATACCATATATCGCCGTCTACAGAGTGACCTGCCCATAAGGTGAATCCCTTGTAAAAGCCTTCAAAATCTATGCTAATTTATATACCCCGCCTAAAAAGCGAATTTGAATGAAGCACATCACCAGCCCATACACAATCCCTACATTTGCAATAAAAATGAGTTTGGCTTTCGCAGTAGGTAAATACATCGTATCCCTGCATTGAATGCCATTTTAAAATAAGAAGACATTTTGTTATTCATCAACGGTGGGAATGGCTTGAGGGTAACACAAGACGGGTAAACCTTGCTTCCTACCTGAGAGCAGGAGCTGTGTCCCATGGGGTATGTTTTAAACATGAGTTGAGGGTTGACTATTTTGATGAGATCTCGCGTGGCCTCCCCCCATGTCAAGGCCACCAGAGGGTCCTGGGTACCATGACATTGCAGAATTGGGAATGGTGCTGGCCTCTCAGGTTTCTCCATCTAAAACAAAGATTTATGTATCACTTACAATTCAGACCCGTGAAGATCCGGGGTAGAATAGGTATTCAGCAACCCATGGCGACTATGTTTGTCGTAAGAGGTGACTAACAGGATCGAGTGGTCAGGCTCGCTGACTTGGTTGATGCATGTCATTGTATCCCAATGGCATATAGCTGGAATATTGCTGAGTGTTCAGATTTAATTCAGATTTAATTATTTTGTAAATGTATTTTTTTAAATATTTCTTACAAGGGCAAACATATCGGGGTTCATAAAAATCATATGTGCCCAAGGGTCATATTACATCACGAGACAACATTGTATTGTTTCCGTCATCCGGACTGCATTGACGATGTTATTCGAATGTTATTGTGACGTGAGGTCGAAACGACGTCACACCAGAAACCACATAAGCTGAAGGTTGTTGCGTCATAAGAAAAAATGTGGTTCCGCTGCTGTTGTGACTTGCTCTCTTTATAGGAAAACACTAAAATTCGTCTATGTATGTAGACATCTTCTTTGGTAATAAATACAACATCGTGTACATGTCATACTATGTTTACGACACTCCCGAGGTCGGTACAAGAGCATCACCAGGATGTGGTGTGTTATGTGGCAGTGTATTTTATTGTTTGACAATGATTGTAACTGTGTTACCTTGTTTCTGTTGAGATTCAGTAGAAGGTCATTGCATTGTGTTTGGACAGTGATCAGTCGTCAGGAAGTTACTATATTTAGATGCTGGTGTGGTGTGTAAACTTCTGGTTTGGTATACCGTGGACACTGATAGTATGTTATTGAAACTTCCTTAATGTTCTAGTACCAATGGACTGGTGAGGGCACTGTGTGGAACTTTCCAGTGGCTTGGTAGGTTGTTTTGAAGAGGACAATATCGTGTGTACATATCTCTCACACATTTCATCGCTTTGGAACCAGCTTTGATGTGAGGATCGCTCATCATCCCTGATTCCCTGCCTAGTCCATCTCAAAAACTTGACCACGGTCGCCTCTGGGTGAAAATATATTATTATCACTGACTTTTGCTATCACCACTGCATTTTTGTATATGATAATGACCAGTCATCAAATTATTTATTTCCATTGAATATTATACCACCACTCTATTGTGTACTGACAGTGTAATTGCTGTGCAGAAGTTTGTGTTGATTTGTAAACCTAGTGAATTTTGTACTACATTTGTTGATTGTATACCACTCGTTGCTTGTTTGTTGGTTTCACACTAAGTTCTTATACATACAGATTCCTGGGTTAACATATTGTTTCAATTTGAGAATCGACATGTCTGAACACAACTTCACGTCTTCCTGAAGAAGGTATGGGCCAAAGCAGACCCTGATGCACATACCAGCTTCATGAACTTTTTATGAAGAGGCATCCAAGTGCTGAGGGCCAGGACGCCCCCTAGTGGCTTGCCGAGGTTGAATGCGGTGTGGAGAGCCACTGCTCCTCCTTGAGAAAAGCCCCCGATCACGATCTGATTGGACGGGATGCCTGCCTTCTCCTCCTCCTCAATTAGAGACTTAACTGGGAAACAAATTAATGAATGTTTACAAAATATCAAGAACATTTCACCATAAACATATAAATATCTGAAATATTAACTTACAATTTACTCAATATGGGACGACATAAGCTGCTGAAAATGTCACAAAATGACAGGTGATTTCTTTTCCAACAATGAGACATGGCAGGTCCAAGCAATTGTTTCAGGTCTTTATCTACCCCGGTACATCTTTAAAATGATCTCCATATCACCCACTGACATCAGGTATATGATGTATATTTCACTCAGTGACATCAAGTATATTATGTATATATCACCCACTGACATCAAGTATATGATGTATATTTCACTCACTGACATCAGGTATATGATGTATATATCACTCAGTGACATCAAATATATAATGTATATATCACTCACTGACATCAAATATATCATGTATATATCACTCACTGACATCAAATATATCATGTATATATCACTCACTGATATTACTGGCTTTCTTAATGCCTTCCTCATCTTCTGCACTGTCAGCTGAGAGACCATATATATCAAACCTAAAGCAGAATAAACACTGTGTTAAGCCAGGAAATCACATCTGTGCAAGTGATCAGTCATGATACAAAGTCAATAGATTACTGAAGTGGAGGATCAGAATTGCATTTGTATGCTACTGAAGCCATTCCCAAAGAGACTGGTTCCTGGTAATATTTGAGTTGGTTCTGATGAATGATGGTTCGTGTTTATTTTTGTCACCATTGATTCATATTCCCTTTTCCGAGCAGCCACTCAGATTTTCTTATTTACTTTATGCCTGATATTTTCACACAGATATTCTAAGTTTGGAATTTGTTTCCCATAAAAAAAGAGCAAAAAAAGAAAGAAAACCCAACAAAACTGGATCTTGCACCTTTAAGTATATATATTAAAAAAGTATGTGTTTCATCATCTTTGATCCAACAAATAAAACAAAATAAATAAAACAATATAATAATACCTCCATGTCAGAATGATGAGATCTGATTGGTCCATGTGATCATGATAAAATACTGTGTAACCCGCCTTGGAGGGGAATAAATTTCTCTTATCTCTTATACCCCCCCCAGGAGCAATACAGGCTGCACATGAATAAATCTCTTATACCTGCTTCAAAGCAGAAAGTCACACACTTTTCCAAGTCAATGGAAGTCACGTGACATAACACAAGCTAACCTCAGCTCAATCAACAACTGTTTTTATCAATTTTGAAATTGTTTTAATTCTTTTATTATGTCACATTTAAACATGTTGGTAAGATAAATTTGTTGACGCTTAAAACCCATGAACCCCTCATGATCCTGCCACAATTTATAATGACGAATGATCTTAACTTTCTGCTGCAGTCAGCAGTCTTCGGGCCATACCATAGTAGCCTGTATATAACTTGGTCAAGAAAACCAGTGGTTGATATCATGAGCACACAGTAGGTATGATGACACATTATCAGCCAGGCCACACCTGATTCTCATTTAAGTCATCTCTTACAACAAGAATGAGGTACAGGGAATCTATTGCACAATGGTACCTGCATCACTACTCAAGAAGTCAAGGTTAAACCTACCATGATGTCATAGGGAAACCTCCATTTAAAGATACAGGTGCTATAGCTCTGAAACAAACACAAGTCATTGAATACATCATCCACATATCGTCAGTATGCAGTGCCATAGCACTGTAGACATCACTCATTCAGTGATTTTCTTAGAGACAAGTGACAAAAGGATTTTAAAAAATTATAGAAACTTTTGATAAAACATTCTTCAACATCATCCCAGATTTGAGAACAACAAACTTTTACAATGTTTTGGATGCCAATCAGTCAATTTCAAGAAAATAAACTCATCTCTTATCCTGTAAAAATTAACTTTCATCCTCATCTCATAGCAATCTGACATTTTCCACAAAAAACACTTTGGTGAAACCCATGAGCAGGGGTATGGTGCTGACAAACAACCAATCAAAACAAGGGCAAATCCCAGATTCACACCCACGGTAGATCCTGGCACAACAAAGGGATCTAACTCTGCACAGCAACTAAAGGCAACTAAGACCACTCTTCTATCATATTGTCAGATATCCAACATTGGATTTCTTTAACAATTCATGATGTAAATCAATCCCAAGTCTTTCTCGAACTCTAACAAAGAAGTTTCCTTAAACAAGACGACGATGACGAGGCACAATTAGTGTTATTGATGCACTTCAACCACAACATATTTGCTTTGCCAATTAAGCTGTCAGTGCGCCTCCATGGGGGAAGCCATTGATCAATATTACATAATAATCACTACCCCTCCACACGATCAATAACAGCAGTGCAGCAAACGTGCACCGCATACAGACAGAGGGACGGGGCTACCGACATTTCATGCTAATCATCAGCCTTTTTTAAATTTCTACATAATGAAATCACTTTTCACAAAATAATTCAGTGTTCCCATCTGAACATAGCCATTGTCAAAATGTGTTCCATTATCAATGCAAATAACAGTCGACAAATAGGAATAATCAGCATTTCTGATGGTTTCAGTTCTATCAAATAATGAACTTGTCACTTACGTCCCGTACAGCCGACGCCCACCTGATGACACATCTCTCTACATCAATGCTTGATGGTGGTTTATATTACATTATCTTAAGCGTGCTGACTTAAATAACCAGCTCCTGACAGACAAATGATACAGTGCCAGCACAAATGCACATCATTATCGAGGATGCCAAGCTTTTCCCCAATTAAGATTAATTTCTTCAATCATTTCATCTTAATGATGTTTATGTTTAAAAATAGTGAGCACAACCTTGAGAATCATTGCAATAATGCTGATAAATGGCCGATGAAAGAATCACAACATTAATGAGGGAAAATTCCAAATTCTGAACCTGAATGTTCACAATTTGGGATGCTAAGAACGAAGTGATTGACTGTGTAAGTGTTTGACACCCCACTCAGCAATAATCCAGCTCTTTTATGGCAGACTTCACTTAACAATTTTCTCATTACTTTATTCCTCATATTTTCACACAGATATGAGTTTGGAATTTGTTTCCCATAAAAAAAGCGCAAAAAAAAGAAGAAAAACCCAACAAAACTGGATCTTGCACCTTTAAGTATATATATTAAAAAAAGTATGTGTTTCATCATCTATGATCCAACAAATAAAACAATATTATCATACCTCCATGTCAGAATGATGAGATCTGATGGTCCACGTAATCATGATAAAATACTGTGTAGTCTATTATGGCAGACTTCACTTAACATGACTTATCCTGTCTGGACCCCACACTCAGCAATAATCCAGCTCTATTATGGCAGACTTCACTTAACAAGACTTATCCTGTCTGGACCCCGCACTCAGCAATAATCCAGCTCTATTATGGCAGACTTCACTTAACAAGACTTATCCTGTCTGGACCCCACACTCAGCAATAATCCAGCTCTATTATGGCAGACTTCACTTAACAAGACCTATCATGTCTGGACCCCACACTCAGCAATAATCCAGCTCTATTATGGCAGACTTCACTTAACAAGACTTATCCTGTCTGGACCCCACACTCAGCAATAATCCAGCTCTATTATGGCAGACTTCACTTAACATGACTTATCCTGTCTGGACCCCACACTCAGCAATAATCCAGCTCTATTATGGCAGACTTCACTTAACAAGACCTATCCTGTCTGGACCCCACACTCAGCAATAATCCAGCTCTATTATGGCAGACTTCACTTAACAAGACTTATCCTGTCTGGACCCCACACTCAGCAATAATCCAGCTCTATTATGGCAGACTTCACTTAACAAGACTTATCCTGTCTGGACCCCACACTCAGCAATAATCCAGCTCTATTATGGCAGACTTCACTTAAAAAGACCTATCCTGTCTGGACCCCACACTCAGCAATAATCCAGCTCTATTATGGCAGACTTCACTTAACAAGACTTATCCTGTCTGGACCCCACACTCAGCAATAATCCAGCTCTATTATGGCAGACTTCACTTAACAAGACCTATCCTGTCTGGACCCCACACTCAGCAATAATCCAGCTCTATTATGGCAGACTTCACTTAACAAGACTTATCCTGTCTGGATCCCACACTCAGCAATAATCCAGCTCTATTATGGCAGACTTCACTTAACATGACTTATCCTGTCTGGACCCCACACTCAGCAATAATCCAGCTCTATTATGGCAGACTTCACTTAACAAGACTTATCCTGTCTGGACCCCACACTCAGCAATAATCCAGCTCTATTATGGCAGACTTCACTTAACAAGACTTATCCTGTCTGGACCCCACACTCAGCAATAATCCAGCTCTATTATGGCAGACTTCACTTAACAAGACTTATCCTGTCTGGACCCCACACTCAGCAATAATCTAGCTCTATTATGGCAGACTTCACTTAACAAGACTTATCCTGTCTGGACCCCACACTCAGCAATAATCCAGCTCTATTATGGCAGACTTCACTTAACATGACTTATCCTGTCTGGACCCCACACTCAGCAATAATCCAGCTCTATTATGGCAGACTTCACTTAACAAGACTTATCCTGTCTGGACCCCACACTCAGCAATAATCCAGCTCTATTATGGCAGACTTCACTTAACAAGACTTATCCTGTCTGGACCAGGAAAACCAGAAGATAACAGCAGCACAAGTAAGGATCCTCTGGGTGTGATGACCATTACAATCCCCCAATCATGCACCACCCTAACCTCATGTAAGACTGCGCTGAGGACAAGGATGGGTTCTGGGAACAACTGACAGAGAAGTTTTCAGAGAAGTTTACAACATTGGTACTTACGCTGTCGGGCATATACATTTGATGTTGGGAAGTTTTAGCATGCGGAAATTCTCTGCCCAGCTATTTCTGAAATGATGAAATGATGAAATGATTAGAGAATAAACAACTAGCTACAAAGGATTACAGATTATCTGCCGATTTATAGCGCTAGCCCACTGAGAAACCAAGTCACAGTTTAACATGAATACCCCACTCAGACACAGTATAATGACTCTGAGCCAACCAGTCCTTGCTTTAACCCTTAATGCCGAGCAGACAGGGTAACAACAAGTACCAGCTTTGACCGTCTTTTGGTATGACGCGGTCATGGATCGAAACCCGGACCTTCCTCTCTCCGGGCGGACGCTCTACCACTAGACCACTGACATAATGTAATCAATTTGTGACATGAGTGAGTGAGTGAGTTGGGTTTAATGCTGCATTTAACAGTATTCCAGTTATATCACCGCATGTCAGCTTGATGTGGGAGGAAAGCCCAAAGTGATGCAGGTCTTAGACATTTACCACTTTGGTGAAACCCACATGCACGGGTATGGTGCTGACAAACCTAGAAACATAATTGCGGCGAACTGTGATGGAACCCACAATCATAGGTTTCTGACGTGCCCAAGGAATGCAACTCTGCACAGCGAATTGCAGCGCCTTAGGCAACTGGGCCACCTGTGTCCCTGTGACATTATGAACAATGGATGACGTTATGTCACATTTTCTCAACAATGAAGCACTGTGATGTCACATGACTTCAACTGACCAATCAGCATTGAGAATATCTGAGCATTATTACACAGGGTTATCTACCCTCATGGGAAATAGTGTTATGTCATCAGGCTCAATTAACATTGTCAGAAGGAATGTATAATACATGTATCTGTATTCATTATGCAAGTGAACAATTTCCTAGACTCATCACTAGAGATATCAGTGTGCATGTGGTAATACAGATGTTGACTACTTAGACACTAGCAGCCGAAAAGGCTGAAATAAGAATAGTTTATGTCTCCTGCATCAACTCCATCTTACTCCCACATGAGGTAATTTCATTTCTACTTCAAGATAAAGTATCTCATCTTTGACATTTGGAATCATACAAAAATGAAAGGTCACTCGACCCAACCAAGGTATTTCCTCAGAATAAATTGGTTTGAGTTTAGCATTTTTACACGCTCACATGTACTGGTATATCATATATAGAATGACACTATTTGTTAGTTTGTTGTTTAACACCACACTCAGCAATTATCCAGCTACATGACAGTGGCCTGTCAGAACCAGACAATCCAGTGATTGACATCATGAGTATTGATCTTGTTTGTGTTTGTTGCTTAATGCCGCACTCAGAAATATTCCAGCTATATGACGGCGGTCTGTAAATAACCGAAACCTGGACCTGACAATCCAGTGATTGACATCATGAGCATCGATCCACGCATTTGGAAGATGATGACATGATATCAACCGAGTCATTGAAACTGATCACCAGAAGCTTTGAGTTGTCTCTTACGAACAACTAAGAAACAACTACATATTATTCATCGAACAACATTGTAAAGACTGCATTGACACTAAGGTAACACTAAAATGACACGGAAATAATATGATGATTAACACTACAATAAAACTGTAGTGAGTGAGTGAGTGAGCTTTTAACAGTATTCCAGTTATATCACGGCATGTCAGATTAATGTTGGAGGAAAGCCTGAAGTGATGCAGGTCTTAGACGTTTACCCCTTTGGTGAAACCAACGAGCACGGGTATGGTGCTGACACATAAATGAAACATAATGGGGATGAACCGGGATTCGAACCCACAATCATAGGCTTCTGGCGTGCCCAAGGGACGCAACTCGTGGGACACCCGTGCCCCTGCTCCGGAAACGAAGTCCACCCCCTTATGAGACGAAGTACAAATTGTTTCCATGGTTACCGAGAAAAATAAACAAGCCAAAAATCCATAAAGAGCAAAAGGCACCACTTCAGGATCTGTTTGATATATCAGCCAATTTTGAAAATAATATATTGAACGTTTTTCAACGGAAAGACGGAATGACGGACAGATGGATGAGGCGTCAACTATATCCCTCCTCATTATATGCCGGGGGGATCTCATAATGTTCGTCATCAATAACTACCTGAATACAAATATATGTACTGAACTGAATGGAAACCATATATAACATTAATCTTTATGAGCGATTGCAATTAATAACGCTGAAGTATCTAAATACATGTATGATAACACTTCCTTCTCCATAATCTTAACACAAGGTCTAATTATTTCTCTAAATAGTAACGAGGAAAAACTCACCCAGTATCGCCTAGACCATGTAGAAATATTAGCTGAAATCGAAAGAAAAACATTATATTTACTGCATAAACAACAATAACTTATGACAATGTCATATGAAACAGGAATTTAACTAGGATTCCAAACTAAGTGCCTAGTGCAGCAGACTGGGGAAAAAATAAATTGCAATATTTTTCAAAGTTATATTTTATTAATGTTCTTATTTTCATAAATTTTAAGGAATTAGGAATTGAATGCCTTGTTGATAATTTGAAGAAACCAAACTTTTCTATCCATGGAATATCGAACAGATGATGGCAGTCAAGGCACCATCACACAAGCCTAAGGTCAACAGGTCATCAGTTAATTCTTTACAAACAAAAAGCATTTACATGTGACATTTGAAAAAATATTCAACAAATAGTTGGACATTTCCTTTGACATTCCTGAAAACATTCTAAATTAGACAAAAAATTGACGTATTATCTGACTGTTTTACTAATAGTGCAAGGTGGCCCCAAAAGGAAGCCATTGTTTGGCATCCTAAAAAATTGCAATTTGTTTGCACAGAGATGAGACTGAACGACAAAAATAAAGCCAAAATGCCACAAGATAACACAATGATTGGCAGAGAGCAGTGAGAGAATGGTTCCTGCAGTGAAGTCAGGAACACTGAGGAACCAGCTGATAATTGAACAACTCTGGCAGCAACCACGAATGTGCAGACGTGCAGGCGTGCAATTCCTTGACAACCAATGTCGTCCAACCTCCATTACCAACTGCAGAGCAGCAAGCATAAGTAACACACATTCAAATTCTTCTCATTCCACAAAAACTATCAAAAACTTTCTTTGAAGCACCATCATCAGTGGAGGGAAGCAAGGTCATGGGAATGTCATCGACATGGTCAACAAGATGATGGCGGTTTTGTGTTCTGCAGAAAGGAGACAATTTTGTTGTTCCCAACTTGTTCAAATTGGCGCCAGAAGGTATGCTATTAACAGACTGCCTGAGGAACGGAGCAGCAATCTTCAGCTGCACCACAACAGATTTGGTTAGTCACTGATGGCATCAAAATTGACTTCATCATTGCTAATGGCAATGTGCTTCTATTCCATTAATACCGCTGTTAACAAGACCAAAAACAATCAGGGTAAACATGGGACAACATGGAAGGAACACCAGTACGAAACCTGCCCAGAATATCACACATTTCACTGGCACTGGCAACAAACACATTTTTACTTGAGATTGATACTAAAACAGGACACAAATTGAAGCCTCAAAACTGACTGTCAGCAGGGTTGATGATAGGGGTGTCACGATAAATCGAAATATCGATATATTGCTATTGGTAAGCACTTAAAGACAATAAATCGATTGTAAAATCAGTTTCCGATAAATCAATAGCATCGATTTGAGTTAGGAATATCGATAGTTTCGATTGTATTTACCATATCATGCGATTGAGTCACCGAAACACACTCGCGAATGCAGCCGAGTGAGGATTAGAGTTAACTACCCTTGATACTTAGCAACTGGTCTTTCTTAAAGTACAATGGCGGAGGGTGACAGTCAAGCAGAGTTTGTGACAAACTTGGGTGGAAAATCAAGTGTTTGGAAGTCTTTTGGCTATGTTAAAGAAAATAACAGTGAGTGAGTGAGTATAGTTTTACGCCGCTTTTAGCAATATTCCAGCAACATCACGGCGGGGGACACCACAAATGGGCTTCACACATTGTACCCATGTCGGGAATCGAACCCGGGTCTTCGGCGTGACGAGCGAACGCTTTAACCACTAGGCTACCCGACCGCCCAAGAAAATAACAAGCTTGACAAGAAACGTGTTGGATGCCAAAAGTCTATCTTAAATGATACACTGAAAACTATCGATATTTATCACAATAGTTGCTTGCAATAACAATAGTTATCACAATAGTGATTTCCAGACCAATAGTCATCCCTAGTTGATGAGCATATCTTACTGGCTGGTACCAACAAACCAAGCATCTGGGATTCAAACTTGTGAATCCTGGCCTTGCAATGTTGTTTTCAGCAATATTAATGCAATGAGTATAAGACTATTACATCTGGCATGGGTGGTCCTGTCATTTGAGCCACCACAATTAGCTACGCAGGCTGCGTCCCTTGGCATGTCAGAAACCTATGATTGTGGGTTCGAATCCCAGTTTGCCTCAATTATGTGTCTGGCCTTGTCAACACCATATCTGTGCTCATGGGTTTCACTAAAGTGGTAAACGTCTGAGACCTGCATCACTTTGGTTTTTCCTCCCACATTAAGCTGACAAGCTGTGATATAAAGTTCTGTAATACTGCAAAACAGTGTTAAACCCAACTCACTCACTCCTACATCTGACAGATCAAGTGTGGTTTCTCCACTGGAACAAAGTTGGTTTCAACTGCCAAATATTAAGATGTATGCGAGTCCCTAATTACACAGTGACATACGATCACTTTCACACTTAGCACAAAGTCTTTTTTTGCAAATAACCAGTTTGGAAATCAAATTGGATTTCTTTGGAACATCAGAATATCTTTATTGATTGTATTAAGAAAAATTTACCAAGAAATTCTGATTTCTGTTTTCTGTGAGATTCTAATTAAGCAGTACGTCATTTTTTCAGTGACTTCTATGTATCCAAAACACTGTAGGACCAGAAGCTATTGTGACTACTTATCATTTAAACCCACTACAATGCAATGCACCGATGTATTGTTTCGTCCTGCATTTATAACAGGCATTGGCAGCCAAGGCCGTTGTGACGACCTGATTCACATTTCAACCACCGGAATTGATACCAAGCATTGGCTGCCAAGGCCGTTGTGACTACCTGATTCACATTTCAACCACCGGAATTGATACCAAGCATTGGCAGCCAAGGCCGTTGTGACGACCTGATTCACATTTCAACCACCGGAATTGATACCAAGCATTGGCAGCCAAGGCCGTTGTGACGACCTGATTCACATTTCAACCACCAGAATTGATACCAAGTATTGTCTGCCAAGGCCGTTGTGACGACCTGATTCACATTTCAACCACCTGCATTTATATAAGCGCATCGCACAAAACTTCAATATTTCTTGTATAATATGTGTTCCACACTGCTTCAATATCAGACAATGGCAGGGTTCGCTTGGAAAGTAACCCATGCATGAAAGTGTCACCACTCACCAGTGACGTGAAATATGTTGAATTCGCTCTCAGCTTTTAGCATCATAGTTACTTCTCCGATATTTATTGATAAATGATTGATATTTAGTTAACGATTATCGATATCTATAATCTATATTGATTGCCAGGCCTTCTCTGTTAAAAGGGTATCCCCAGGGAGAGGGTATCCCCTACAACTTAAGGCTCTGTAGAGGTGTCCTTAAAAGGATGTGTGTTGGGGAATGTGTCAGTCTAAGTCTCATACCTGACCAGGTAACAGAAATACACAGTGAGTGAGTGAGTGAGTGAGTGAGTGAGTGAGTGAGTGAGTGAGTGAGTGAGTGAGTGAGTGAGTGAGTGAGTGAGTGAGTGAGTGAGTGAGTGAGTGAGTGAGTGAGTGAGTGAGTGAGTGAGTGGGTGGGTGGGTGGGTGGGTGGGTGGGGTTTAATGTTAGTTTTAGTAAAGTTCCAGCTATATCATGCCCAGGGACATAAAGAATGGATTTCATACTTGGGGAATCAGACCTGCTGGTACACTGTGACATCATGATATCAAGGCACACCTGACTATACATGTCTGCTCAACCAAAATAGCTTCTACATCGATTAAGTACTTCTGTTTCAGCTTACTGACCTGTTGTGACACAATGATTAACAACTCCTTGCCTAGACTTGGTCAGCAGTAATCATGCAATACCAACTTGTCTCATGCTATAATCCAGAGTGGTGGGACATTACACCGATGCATCGGTGGATCTTGATCTTTTACTTCTTGATACAAGTACTGATCACAGTCACCCACTAAGTAAAATATTGATTCTGTCCTCAAATGTTTGCTCTAATAACTGTTCCACTAAACACTAATCACTAGTGCAAGTTAATAGTGAAAACATAAATATTTTCATTTGTAGTGCCATACTTGACACTGCCAACTGTAAATCGTCAGTGTGCCAGGTATTTGGCCATCCTGTCTATGAAAAAGATGGTTTACTCTCCACAGATAAGAGCACATGGAAGTATTGTGATACATATCGGATCGTGAGTAAGGTATCGTGATACGTATCTGATCTCACAGTTGGTGTATTGTCCCAGCCCTAATAATCCACAAGGTGTGTCACAGAGAAGTCATCGACAGGTTCATGAATTACAGTACCAAAACAATACACTCCCAATACAATCGCATAATTTGCAGCAATTCATAGTGCAGAGTTGCATCCCCTAGCATTGCCTGGATCTGCTGATCATTGGTTTGAAACTGTGGAAACACTTCAGTCTGCTTTCATTCAGGTTTTCTCCAACATTAAGCCGACAGGCCCTGACATAGCTGAATTGCTGTTAATGAAGTGTAGTTGAACTAAACTCACCTATAATTACATTCTTATCCCCGTCCCTACTTCACCCCAACATAACTGTACCACTTCACCCTAACCTAACTGTACCACTTCACCCCAACATAACTACCACTTCACCCCAACATAACTGTACCACTTCACCCCAACATAACTGTACCACTTCACCCCAACATAACTACCACTTCACCCCAACATAACTGTACCACTTCACCCCAACATAACTGTACCACTTCACCAACATAACTGTACCACTTCACCCCAACATAACTGTACCACTTCACCAACATAACTGTACCACTTCACCCCAACAAAACTGTACCACTTCACCAACATAACTGTACCACTTCATAAACATAACTGTACCACTTCACCAACATAACCATACCAATTCACCCCAACATAACTGTACCACTTCACCAACATAACCATACCAATTCACCCCAACATAACTGTACCACTTCACCCCAACATAACTGTACCAGTTCACCAACATAACAATATTGCTTCATCCCTACATACTGGTAACA